CGAACTGTAAAGAAAAGGCAGTAATCTGATAAGCTTGGGTGTTAATGCAAAGGCGGCTTCTGCCATATTGCAACATGAACTATTCCACAGAAAATTGCTATGACAACGGGACAACGTTAATGGGGTGTTACAAATCTGAAATAGGGAGCCATGTCGATGAGAAAAGGCAGAAGCCTAAAATAAATGAAAATGAGAAAAGGAAATAATACGGAGGTACATAAATTCAAACTTCAGAATTTTGAACTGTGTGAATAATGGTGCAACAAGCAGAGAAAAAGCAGCAAAAAGCAATTAATATAAAAATGAGAGAACAGAGATGTATCTTGATAACTGAAAAATTAAATAAAATGAAATTGTGAAACTTCTGCTGTTTTACATTTTTCTAAATGTTATGACTCAAGGTTTGAAAGACTTTGTGAACTCATACAGTATGAAGATTATTATAGTTTTCATCATGGAACTTACAAAATAAATGCTGGTATTCAACTGCTTTGAGGATCTGAAGAACAAAATTAACCACTGTCAAATGGTTAGACTTGGATCTTTTTCAGGGTCAGTAGAGGGAAGGAGCAGTTAGTTACAATGAATAATATGATATTCGTCACTTCAGAATGAGTCACTGTCTTTACTATAGTGATACATAATTAGATATTATAATCATGTAAAGGAAAATGGGAAAGGCAAACTATTAGATCCATTAACCTTTCCATGATACAGCTCAACTGAGTTCCGAGTGTATCACTGAATTTTTAAAGTAACATCTATTTTTAAGAGAAAAAAAGATACCTAGGACTGATAACCACCTACCAACACTTCCACAAGATTTAGCTTTTCTGAAACCTGTGATTTCCATGCGGTTACTGTATCATAGTGAATTACTGTAGTGTTGGATATTCATTGGATTATTCATCCCATTCTACATTTTAGCAACAAATCATTTTTCTTAGATTCATTGTTCTGAATTTAAGTCTTCTTAGGTAAAGATGTCAGGAAAAGTATAATAATCATGTAAATGCACATTCTGTGGAGAATGAGCACATTCTCAATGCTGCTGTATACTTTATATGGAGAGCTGTGGTTGAATTGGTACTTCCATCCAACTGAGGTTTGGAGAAAGAAATTTGTCTAGCATTCGAGTGATGTCAGACAAAAAGCAGCCTCAAAGACATAGGCCCTGATTCACCAAGTTAATGCTGGCATCTTGAACTTCAATTTGTTGGACCTCTATGAAAGCATGAAAACATAAAAAGAAAAATCACAGGCTCTTTTCAACAGCTGTAGCCTGGGGAAGTGTAATGCCATATTCACAGTCCCTTCTATCCGCTCTTTCATACATCTCCAATTATACAGAGTTAGTCGTCACCATTTGTTGAGCATACTGGTGACAGCCAGTTGTCAGCAGCACTTAAGAACACAAGCTGACAGACAACTTCAGCATTACATTTTGTGGAAATACTTGTATTTTTCAAAAAGAATTCATCATTGCTGGGTGTCTCAACCCAAACAGAGGAAGGATTTTATTTCTGAAACACAAATTAACAGAAACCTATTCAACTTAAAATTGCAACAAACAGAGATCAGAATCTCTGGGTCCAACAGGAATACATTTGCCATGTTTTATTAGAAAACCAGAAACAGTACGTACTGATGCACTTTTTTCATTGAGACAATGACTTGTTTTTTTTCCAAAGAAAACATTTGAAGGCTGACATATTCTGTCTGTAGGATTCTTAGGATATTGTGTCAGTCATATGATGAGCTCAACTATTGAGGTAGGCAGAGTACTTTGTCACTGTAAAAGAACATGAAAATCCTGCTACTGCATGAAACAATCCTTCCTTACCGAGCACAATCATCTGCAGAGAGAATGGGATAAGAAGAAAGCACCAAGAAGTATTTCACTTTCTGTTTCGGACTTTTTTGTCCATCAATTCAAGGGGAGAAGCAGGGGTAAGCAAAGTAGAAAAAGAGCACCCGGACATGGGGGGAACCCAGGTGGCCGGCTGAGTTGGTTGACTCGGCAGCCTCCGGGGCATGAAAACATGTACACCCCTGACTCGAAGAGAGTCACTTGAGAGGTGCTGCGTCATGACTGGGACCTAGGCTCTCAGGGGTAGGGAAGGAAGAGTCAGTGAGAGTCGCTTTGACGGGCACTGCCTCACAACCAGGCTATGCCCTCAGGGGATAGAAAGGGAAGAGGAAGACTCCCCTGTCTCCTTGAGGGTTGCTTTGAGGGGTGCTGCCTCACGACCAGGATATACCCTCAGGGGATAGAGTCACTATGAGGAGCTGCCTCGCAACTGGGATACACCCTCAAGGGACCGAGGGAACGAGAATGAGCAAGTTAGAGTTTCCTAGAATAATGTGGCCGGGGGTCCCCTCTGGCTCGCTCTTAAGAACCTCCCCAGAAACGGTCAATGTGGCGCTGCCATCCTGAGTTCGGGAAAGTGAGCTTCACTTACCCCTCCAAAGTGGACCCTGGACCAACACTTTCCCTCCCAACACCCATGAGGACAAACAAAATGTGTGTCAATTCATAATTAAAACAAACATGAGAATAGAAGAGACGCCCTCACTCCAGGCGTACTAACAATAGATAATGAGTAGCTGAAATGCCTGAGAGAGTGGTGTTGATGTAAAGGTGGAGTGCAGAGTTGGATGTTTAAATAAGTTGAATATTCAGGATAGCTTGGGCAGTGGAGATGGCAGCTCCAATTCTGAAGGAACAAGAAGAGTAAACCGAGGGTTGAGAACAGCGCTAGAGATTGAAACTCACGGCTGAGAAAAAAACATGTATCTAGGTACTGAAGTATCTACAACAAAGTGGATCAGGATAGAGGATCATAGAAAAAATGAGAGGCTGGAATAAAAGTCAAGTCACTCAATGGTGGAAAACAGAATACAGACAAACTGGTGAATTGTGGCTCTTAGAATCTGCAGCAGTCAAATACATCGCATCCAGAAGAGCATCCTTGAAGGGGTAAAATGGCCTTGTCTCAGAAATAAAAAGGCGGAGGATGATGAAGGAGATAGCCTTCCTGGAAAGAACTCTTAGAGGTGCTGTCTCTGGATTCCACGAAGTGCAAGATGGAGTGTTGGAATAGAAAGCAGTGAGGACATTAAAGGGACTGAAATGTGAGGCAGAACTGAATCCCAGAGGTAAGATCCTGTTGCACTTGGAAAAGAGCGAGAGGAGCAAAGTTAAAATGGAAATACAGGCAGCCCGTGGAATGGGATAAAGGTAGAGTATGCAGTCCTGACAGAAGAGAAGGCTGTGTGGGCATATGGGGCTAAAGCATGTAGTAACATGTCCATTGAAGCTGGGTGGAGATTTGTTTCTAGATGACAAAAGAATGCTGCACTCGGAACATGAAGAGGAAAAGAGTTGAGATGTGCATGAGGATGCCGGATTTGGGTAACGATAATGGTAAAAAGCATTGGTTGAGCATTGGAAAGGCCAGGGAGGTGATCCTTGCTAGAGCTGAAGGAAATCCAGGTGAGATGGTGAAGGAAACTTGAAACTAGGGGAAGATGATCTTCCTTTATTGGTAATGGAAGTAGTGGATTTGATATCAGAAATAAGATTGATCACTGGTCCTGAGGTGTCACAGAGATGGATGGCAGCAACAATAGGGTAGAGCTTTAGAAGGGCTGACAATTATACAAGAAGAGAGAAAACACTAAGCATTGAATATTACTAAAAGACCGACAGAAGCATTAGAGAAAAGTGGGAGGTCATGCAGAGTAGAACACCAATTCTTGTAGAAGAGAGAGGCAGTTCTGAAGACGGGGGTAGAGATCCACAGTCTGATTTCCTTCAGAGCGTCAGCTGATATAGTAACACAGGCATTGAGAGACGACAGTTGTAGAAAGCGAGAGGATGGGAGAAAGATTTGGCTTGAGGTATAATTCGGATATCATAATTTTAATGCGGCGACTAGGATAGCAAGTCATTAGTGATAATTTCAAAATCTGAAATGAAAATAGAGACAGGTGTCGGGAGGAAGGTGAGCTGCAAAGTTAACCATATAAGTGATAAGGCTTTTCTGCTGGGAAGCTTACGAAAAGCAATACCAAAAGGGGGTGATCCAAAATGACGAAGAGGAGACTCTAAGAAGGAGCCTACGAGAAAACCTTTTGTAGCTCAGCTGTTAGAAGAAAGAAGAGAATCTGCTAGAGAGTTGGGTAGCTGTGGAGGAGGAAAAGGCAGAACTGGAGAGTTGAGAGAAGGAGGAGGACTGGCTGAGCTGTAATGGAATCGCATAAAAGTAGGAAAAAAGGCTAAATGGTCAGAGTGAGGAGGAATAGGAATACATCTGTCAAACAGAGATTTGAGGAGCCTTGGAAGAGGCCAGAGTCCTTGTAAAAGAAATGAGTTGGCGTACCCAAGGTGGTGTGGTGGCGTTTTGAACGGCGTAAAATTGGGAGGCTGGATGGGAGAAGCAGAAGCATCGGCTACAGGGGAGAGGAGGATAAGGTCTGCGAGCCATTATAGGTCTAGTGCTCAGAATTCAGGTAAGTTTAATTAAAAAACTTTAGATGTGTGTGCTAGCAGGGTTAGGGTTTAAATAGAAAAGAGATAATTGTTTGATAGAGGAGGGGGGGCACTTCTCCCCTAGAGCTCCACCTATTGGTTTCCATTTAAAAGAAATACAGAGCAAAAATATAGTGATTATTAGTTTTGGGCCTTGACACCGGTATGACTTATCAAGCCCCAAGAAATTAAAATACAATAGCATTAGCAACCTCTTCCTACGACACACACCGTGCTTTCAAGAAACTTTGCCTTTCTGAAAGATTTTTTAGTGGAGTAATAGAGCGCAATACAATAGTATATTAAAAAAGACATCAAACTTTAAAGATTGGATAAAAATTGATGTATCTTGTGGGCAAGTTCAAAACCTGAGTTGAACACTTAGCACTTCAAGGTCACTTGCAGGTCTACTGATTTAATGTTGAAGGGTAAATTATCTCTTGGTACTGCAGGTCTGGAACATTACCTGGGGAATGGGGCTTGGAGGCAGCCACCACAAATCTCTTGGGGGATGAAATTGCTGGCTTGGCGACTTCAACATCTTTTTGTATCTCCTTCCTCGAAGCTGTAAAATACACAGGATGGTCTTTATTATAATGGTTAATGAAACAGGTTTGTTGTCCCCGTGCTATAAGTCTTGCAAATGATATACTGTAATGAGACTGCTTTTTGAAGTGTGGGAGCAGGACACGGCTAAACTGTGTGTAAACCCATTCTAACAATGGGTTCATTTTATTACTCATCATTCTTTGCAACTGACTTCATATCAAGCTCAGCACAAAGCTGTTAATTGTAAGCAGAGAAGTATTAAACTCAGCCATTCTTTCTATTTTTATTTATGATACACAGTGGAAGACAAAACACCCATACTTCATTATTGTAATATCCAATCTGATTTTGAATTAATTTAAATTCACGAGTGTCTGCAAATTAAATGTATAATTTACCTTGTTTTGCATTCAACCAATTCATATACCAGAATATATACACAATCTCTTTATAGATATAATTGCATGCTCAATACATTTTACCAAGTCAATTGAAACAAATTCTCATTTATAATATCCTGGATACCCACTTACACAGCTCTCCAGAGAGTAATCTGAATGAAGTACCTTGCTCAAGAGTAGCAAATTGAACCTCAAACTCCTCAAACCCAAAACCCTCAAAAAAACCCTGACTGTACCTCATGACCTAGGAGCCATCAGAAGTAAGAGCTCTTCATTGCTGTGAAAAGACTGTTGAACTACACAGAGCAGAGCTTTTTTACTTAACCTTTTTGTGCCTCTCAGGACATCCATCTCGAAAACTTTTGCCTTACAGATGGATTTTCATTATATAAAATCAAATAATTGACATGAGATGATTTTTCAGATTTTCTGAAAAACCAAAGTGGATTTTTAAAAGTAAGATCTGGTTGATTTGTTATCTGGCAACTATAAGAGAGACATGTGAAAATAAATATAGTTCCAAATTCCTCCTTTCTTAGTGGGACAACTGAAACCTTCCACTTTGTGAAAAGGCATTTCACAATAATACCACAAGCAAAAAGTTAATGCACTTTACTGCCCGAATTATCCTTGGAAACACTGAATCAAAAGTGTACAAATTAAACAATGTTTTGACTAAACCTCAAAATGAGGCATATTTACTGATCAAAATGACAGTTCTAGTTATAATATTGTATCAAATAATACAAACATTTAGTAATAATTCTAAATATTTAGTGATATTTTATTATTGAATTATTTTTATTATTAATCTATCCAGCATCCAAACCTTAACGGGAATTTTGTTAAGTTTAATTAATCCTTTGCATTTATACAGGTAATAATTGATTTCCATTACAGGTATTGTGGCTTATAACAATTTTACTAAGATAACCAATATTCCTGTTGACCTTTGTGTGGGGTTTTTAATGTGTGACGAAGGCATTTAGTTTTCCGGGTTTAAGTTCCACCTGTTGATGTTTATTTTTTCAAAGATCTTGGGGTACTAATTTACACAGTAGTGTTCAGAGCTATGATGGTGTTTGATAGGAAGAATTAAATACCCGAGACCATGATTTGTAAACAGCATACAGTAGAACACCATTTAAGTTGAAGTTAAGCTTGCCAGTAGATTTCTTCTTTATAAGAAAAAATAACAAATAAGCAAAGAGAAAAATTATACAGGTTTAGGTTAGTGAGAATGAAATATGAATTTAAGATGTACAGGGACAACTGTTCGGTTCCACCTGTCAACATTGCGTTTTAGCTGACAGATGAGCTTCAACAATTGATGTGGCAACAAGCCAAGTTTTTGTCAGACCTTTGTGGTTTTCTAATACTAATTATTACTATTACAAATACTTGGAGTGCTTTCCCCCAAAAAACCTATATTTCACCCATTTTCACCATACTTATATTTAGGTATTAACTAGAACAATTTGGATAAAATACCTTGCTCCAGGGTATAACACCAGTATCAGCAATGATTCACCTAGGATTTGAATCCACAATAATAGGAATGACAGCTCAAGGCATAGAGGTGGAGAACTATATCAATGTGCATTCACGCATGGTTTTCCACCTCGTTTCAGACCAACAATCAGTTGTATTTCCACAAGACTTCAATATATACAGTAACAGTATATACTGTAGAAAAAAGTGCTGTAAAAGCTATTTAGCCATCATACCCAGTCAACTGGTGACAAAGCTCAGGGGATAAGGTCTGTGCAACTCTGTCTGCAACTGGCTGCTGGACTTTCTTATCGAGAGACCACAGGTGGTGCGGATAGGCAATAAAACATCAACACCACTCACCCTGAGCACTGGAACCCCACAAGGCTGCTGTCTGAGTCCAAGGTTGTACTCCTTATTTACTCACAACTGCACAGCAAGACACAGCAACAACCGCATCATTAAGTTTGCAGATGACACCACTATAATAGGACTGATCAGTGATGATGACGAGTCAACTTACAGGGATGAAGTTGCACAGCTGCTTAGGTGGTGTCATAGCAATAACCTGGACTTGAAAATAAAGAAAACGAAAGAGCTAATAGTGGACTTTCGGAGACACAGGCCATACACTCATAGCCCACTCAGTATTGATGGAACGGAAGTGGAAACAGTCACCAGCTTTAGGTTTTTGGGAATTCACATCTCTAAAGATCTAACCTGGACTGTGAACACTGACTCTATCATGAAGAAGGCTCAGCAGCGCCTTTATTTCTTTAGGGTGCCTTGAGGTGTGGTATGGCAACACCTCTTCGCGAGAAAGAAAGGCACTGAAGAGAATGGTCAATATGGCCCAGAAGATCATCGGCTGCGGTCTCACCGAGATTAAACAGCTCTATGAGGATCGCTGCCGTGGTAGAATTCTGGCCATCACAGGACAGTCACCACCCCGGGCATGAGCTCTTCACCCCACTGCCCTCAGGCAAGAGATATAAGAGCATACGGCCACTTACCACTAGATTCTTCAATAGCTTCTATCCACAAGCAGTGAGACTGGCGAACACATTTAGCCATCCCCCTCGGACCACACCTACACCATGACCATCTACCTCTTTATGATTTCTTATCTATTGCACATCTCCAGTCATTGTTTACACGTCTGTATTGTTTACATTCAAACTGTCTACATGTTTACTTGCACATTGTCTATTGTTTGTTTGTACATTGTCTTGATGCACTGTTTGCACTTTGTTGTGTTTTTTACACTTGTTTTACAATCGAGAGACTTTCTGTAAGTAAGAATTCCATTGTACCAGTACTGGTTACATATGGCAATAAAGTTCAAGTTCAAGTTAGTTTAGCTGTTTTCTTCAATTTTAACCTTGATTATGGTTTCGGCAAATTATATTCTTAATGCAGCTGAACTATGACAAAATATGTAAATAATCTTGCTTTGTGTGGATCTCAGAATTCTAAATTTATTTCCTTTTGAATTCTAACATCTAATTCAGTGGATAATTTAACACATTCTCCTTTTTTGTTCTGGAAAATCTTTTCCCTAATCCACAAAGACCTGCAACTTAACAAATATGTTGGCATCTGTTACTTTTAAATTTAAAAAAAAAAACTAACTGCATGCTGACCTTATAGTAACATGGCCCCAACATTAACACATAACCATGGATTAACAATGGAAGCACAAACTGTGTCTAATTGCTGAGTCTGAAAACAGGGCTGTGAATGAAATGACAAAGGCAAGATTCAAATGTCAAGAGGGTAAACCATAAAAAAACAGTAAAATACAACTGGAATGTGATGATATCTTGTCAATCTGTGGTCAACAGTCTGACAAACTGTTACTTCCCAAGCAGTATGATTAATGAGTACTGGTACTACACTCACAAAGTTGCTCTTTGGTGCTGTTCGGCAAGATTGTTCATATTCTTACATTAGTGGAGCCAAAGCTCATGTTTCACTGCTGGTTCAATTCCTAGCTTCCTCAGTACTATCCAGTACATGTAATACCAAGTACTTTGTTATAACATAGTATTGAAAATCTGAAGCATTTGACCCTGAGAGAAAGAGATTTTAAACAGGAGAGATCTGGGTGATTGTGGCTGTACTCTTTATCCTGCTGGATCTGTGTGGCCCTTTTTTAACAGAAAGTAAAAAAAAACATGAACTGAAGCTGAACTGTGCTATTATCTTTTGAAACACACAAAAATGAAAGTCTGATCAGTCTCTTACTTTAACAGATACTTATTATATGAGTTGTACAACTGCTGTAAAAATAATAGTGTGTGCAGTAACACCTACTGTATCTATAATGTAACATAAATGCAAGTAAAAGTAGTTACAGTTTGTGTTACTAAAAACACTGTAGCTGTAATCTGTACTTACGGTAACAGTAGTATCATAGTTCTATAGGTGCTATAATACAAAAAGTAGCCTTAATACCTTATAAGAACTGCATTTATAAAATACTTCATACTACATGGGACAAGATCATTAAACTAAAGTTAAATGTAAATAAGATACCTTCCATTTATTTTCTCATATAATCTTTAAGAAAAAAAAACAAAAAGGAATAAGAACATTCAGTAATAATGATACAAATCAAGGCTAAATAAAACCTAGCTGACTTTAGAAAGAATAAAAGGAAAGTTCTGCCATAACTGTGAAAACCATTCTTAGATCATGTTTAAATGTGAACTTCAAACACAGAAAAAAAATGTTTCTCCTCTGTGAAAGATTCCTTGAGATGTCAGTACAATGTTTTTTTTAAATAGCTTTTTAATTTCTATAGATGGCTCTTATTTAAATAATTTCTTTTAATAAAGTGAAGAGATATTTCTTTATAAAGTGGCATGACTGTTGAGTCCCTGCTATGCCATGAACTTAGAAAGTCTGGAATAACTGGAGTGCTCTGGTTCAAGATGGGATTTCACATGACAGACAAAACATTGCAGAGGGTTGCAGTGTTACAACCTCAAGGTCATTCTGCCGTGCAGCTAAATGAAGAGGAATTATTCACACCAAACCAATGATAAAACTGTCATCTATTATCAGAAAGGCTTTTATTCCTGGCAAGGGTGGAGACAACTCAGTCCACTTCAGGGCCAACACACAAGCTCACAGGGACACCAATTAACCTTGACAGTTGTCTTTTGGAGGTAGGAGTACCTAGATAAAACCCACAGGGACACAGATATAACATGCACACTCCACACAGAAGGCACCCTAGGCTACCCAGCACTCAAGAGATGTCATTTAGCAATGCCAGCATTCAAATTGGCTTACCCTAAGTTTATTACTATTTTCCATTATTTTAGAACAGTTCAGTTATTGAACAATTGTTTCATATACAGTATGCACTGAGTTAACTTCCTTTTCATAATAAATGCAGTATGTACAGTATTTACTAAGATTTTATTATTTTATTATTTATGATACTGTAACTAATAGCTCTAAACAACTGTAGTGTTGTATAATGAGAATGGATTATATGGAATTGATTATTAATTAAGGATAAGGTTCACTATCATGCTAATAATACAGACAGATATAGATATTTATATACAAATATGCATATACATTAAACCTTTGCTTTTAAGGCTTCTAGAAACATTCTCAGGTTTAAGGTATATAAAATTGCAGAAAGTGCTGCTGTGTTCATTTCAACAATCTCATCCATCACAAACAATAGAAGAGGTATCCTCGCTTTAGGTTGAAATTTACTGTCAACTCTTACAATTCAATGTACTTCTTCCATAGGGTAAAACTCATCATATGCCCATGTGCAGTTGTTTTGATATTCCACTTGTATATAGATTATAGTATTTAATAACCAGTTAGCAGAAAAGCTCCTGAATGTCACTGGTCAGGAGGTTCACTCAAAAGGACCACATGTGAAACAGAAATAGCCTTTAGGGCCTGTTGCAGTCCCCCAATTAAGGCAATCAATAAGAAAGCAAATTCTGAACTTGTTTAATAATTTTTGACAGACATAATATTTGGAAAATCTCATTAATGTCAGAAAGGATTATGGAGCATTGTCATATTAATTTTCCCAAAGTACTTCTACTGTCATGGTCAATACCAGACCTCTGTGACTGAAGCAGATGATGTGTTGCAGTCTTCTCCATTTTATGCTTTGTCTGCTGCTGGATTTTGTTGAACTAAACATGTCAAAGCTGTCAAATAAAATCCAGAAACAGGATCTTCAAATTAAATGAATGTTTCGTAAAAATGTGGTGCTTTAAAACAGCAGTAATTTATATTTTGGGCATTGCAAGAAAGGTTGGTGTGTTTTGTCTATGAGCTTGACAATTTCCACTGCAGAAATGTTATACAGTATATAAATGTCAGATAACAATAAACTAGTCCTGATAATCCCATACAGCCTAAATGGGACTTGTAGACATTGTGGAGGTTGTTGAAGAATTTCAGAAGACCAGCCTTTACTCTGAATTCTAAAACCAGTGTGTCAGCAATCATCTCCTCATTGGAAAATTCAGTTTAAACTCAAACTATAAAACTGGAACTAAAAAGATGGCCTAGTACTTTGTTTCCACAGTAAAATGAACTAGGATTTTTTAATTGTACATACCAAGGACGTGTATCCTAAGAAAGTCAATTCCGCTGTACTCTACCTCTGTACACTGCCTCTGTGAACACTTACCCACAGGGGAGCCCTTTTGGGCTGGAAGCAGGGTGCGTCGGGCAGTGGCAGGAGTGCTGGGAGGCTGAGGACTGCTCCTGCTGGGTCCTCTGGGAGTCTCACTTGGCGGTACAGGTGGCTTCTGACTGGTTTGTTCCTCAGCCCCACCGCCTGGACCTATGAAAAGCAAAAGGTTTCTGAAATGACACGGCACGCAGACTGGTCATTCCCAGGCTCTTTTTCTAAAACGTGCCACAAATCGTATTAGAATGAACATTCAAACAAAAAGATAAAACATTACAATCCATTGCTACTGGTGGCAGATGATACTTGGTTCTTCTCAAAACAGTTCTTTTGTCTATATATTTGCACTTTTCAGTCTTACCGTCTACCCTTATACCTTGTATTAACCCCTCACATAAATCAAAACATTTATTTTACCAACGTGCCATTTATTTTACCTAGTTTGTACATACAGTAATACGGGGCGGCATGGTGGTGCAGTGATTCACATTGCCGCCTCATAGCGCTGGGGCCCTGGGTTCAATTCTGAACCTGGAGGTGCCATCTAGGTGGAGTCTGTAAGTTCTCCCCAAGTTTGTGTGGGTTTCCTCCCACAGTCCAAAGCCATACTAGTACTGCAGGTTAACTTGCTCCTGGGAAAATTAGGCCTACTGTAGGTGTGAGTGTCGGCCCTGTACCGTCTAGGGTGTACCCTGCCTTGCGCCTATTGCTTGCTGAGGCTCCGGCTCCCCCATGACCCTGAACTGGAACATGAGGTCAGAAAATGTTTCATCTACTCATAGAATTATAGTACATAGAGCAACTGTACTTATCTCCTTGAGGCTGGTGCATTTTATGTGTAAAAAAAAAGCAATTTTATGGTGCTCAATGTAACTTGAAAAACGTGTCTTTCCTGCATACACTGCTCGGCTACTAGCTCTCCAACACTGCACAGAAAAATGATTAACTGTTTTACTCCTAGTTTGCCTTGTTGGTTTAAATTAATGATTGTAATCGTAGGGTCCTAACTATCGTCTTTATCTTCATCATGTGCAGAGCTTTCTCAGTCAAATAGTTTCACCTTCTCTTTTGACCTCATTCATCAGCCCCATTATTTTCTGCTTATGCCTGGTTAAGAAAGACATGGTTGTCAGGTCTTACACATTTAAAAACATTATTTGCACATTAAATGGTACATTTAAATGAAAAACAGTGGGAAGGCATACAAGTAAGAACAAAATCAAACAAATTAATCAGACAGTGCCTGTATCAACACTTATAAAGCAAACATACAACTTTATTATTATATATTTATACTGATTATTATATTATTATTATTATTATTATTATTATTATAATTTTTGCAGTCAGAAGCAGTATAGACCAGCGAAAAACACATAAGAATGTCCATAGACGGCAGAGAGAACCGCTTAAATTTATTTTTCTCCAAAATGGTGGAAAATTTGACATGACAGTAATGAAGCTGTGCCGGAATGCACAGTGTTTTGGCTACAACATCAACTTAAACTCTTAGGTGTAGAACAGTTGTAATGCAATAGGATAAATGTATTTATATTAAGTATTAAAACATTAATAATAAGTGTATATTTACACTATGATATGGGGTGTACTGCAGTGCTTGCTGAGATGCAATTTTTCAAACTTGACAACAGACTTAAATAAAGATATGCCACTCAATCTTTACCATGCATCAAGATTTATGTAGTTCTGACCAGGCAGAGCATTATGGGCGAAAACTGACATCTGGTCATGCTGAAGTGTCTCTCCTCCCAGCAAGATCTTAAAACTGCAGATTTAAGCTGCTCAGGTGAAAATCATTTAGATCAACAGTTTTCCTTTTCCTTTTTATTTTGGGATCTGTGTATTCAGCTGGGGACGGTTCTGATCTAACAAGTACTAGACCAAAGCATTAAAAAAGCTACTTCTACACAGAAGGACAATTAGGAAAAGAGAAATGCATTAATTTGAATCTCAAATTTCTCAGAGGAAATCCTGTTTGTGCAATGTTAATAAGAGAGATACCAGTACATGCTGCTGTAAAATTTAGAAATTATTATTAATTTATGAGAGGTTATATCTTTATAGGTAGCAAATAAGTCTCACATCTTTAATTCAGTGTGAGAATGCAAAGTATGTTAAGTGCCTGTCTAAATTTTCTGAGTTACATCTTTCCTGTAGTTCTGTTTTCACTGGGAACTTAGGTTAAAACAGTGACCAAGAGACCACCAACACTGCAGGTACTTAGGAGTAGAGGAGCAAAAGCTATGCTTGGTGAGGGTGTTAAATGTAAATATCCTACCTCATCCAAGAAATCTGGACATGGAGGAAAAAAAACACTTAAAAAGCCACATATCGGCACTTAATTATTTAGCAGTCGGATTTCAATAACTGAAAGGAAAACCTGAGAAGATTTCCTCAGTAATAAAATGATTATCTTTGAACAGCATAAAAAATGCATGCCAGTGTGTTTTGACATCAATTCTGCCTCATTTAACATTCATGCACCCCGCTCTCCTTCGGTATAATTAGATTCTGTAGCGTAACCCATATTTTGAATTCTGTGCTCCTTCCTTGGGGAGTCTTGTTTGTGCTCCTTATTGCATTGCTGTTATTCCCCTCCTCCTTTAATTGCTGAAACAATCAGGAGTGTCTGATTCACACTTTGGCAGCCGGTGGTGCTGAAGAACAGTGTCAGTGCATGTCAGATTCCCCCGTTAGAAAAATGATTGATAGTGAGTCTACAGTAGGAACTATTTTTGATACTGTATGTTCAAGAGTTCCTCTTCCTTTGAAAACAATCCAGGGTGAAAGGCTATGGTAGCCTTCCCTATGAACTGGGAAAGGAACACAGAAGTGCTCTCAACAGTGTAATTTAAATGTAATTAATACTTTTCAATTATTTAGTGGTTTTAATTCCAAAAGTGCTACAACACACTTCAACTATATAAAAGGGAACCAAGCAATTCACTGCTGAAGTGTAGGACCACATGGTTGAGGGGTGGTAGCCTTATTCTCTAACAATTACAGAGCAGATCAGGAGGAGAAATGCCACTTTACTTCGCCAGCTGGGACATTTCTTTCCCAGCTCAATGTCACGAACAGTTCTTTCCGGGCCCTATGCAGACGACACGATCCGGAATTGTGAGGTAACACTGGGGAAAAAGTCATGCAGGAGAGGGTATGGTGTCCAGGGGGAGTGAGTCCGGGGCGAACGATCCAAGAGAAAATCCAAACGGGTAATCCAAGACAGAAGCAAAGTCCAAGGCCAGAAGTTCCAACCAGGGGATTAAAACCATGAACCGGGTCGGGACCGGCAAAGGGAGGGGAATCAGGAACAGAAGGTTAAAAGCATAATGGAGCCAGACGCAGCAGGACCCCGGGCTCTCACGAAGTGGAATTCAATGAGGAACCAGGAGTGACATCTGCGTCTGGCTTTTAAGGTGGAACGGAAATAAGAAACAGGTGCAGGTAATGGGGCAGAACAAGGAAGGGCTGGAGCGCCCTTAAGAGGAGGAGTAGAGATCGTAACACTCAATTATGGGGGAAATGTAGGAAAGCCAGATTTTGGAAGAATAAAGTAACGCAGTTGAATTTAGACAGGATAGTGTGCTTAATCTAAAGGAGTTAAATTGCTATTGTTTAAGGTGAATCATAAAAAACTATTCCACAGGATCTTTACAACTGTATACAGTATACTGGTACACATCAATGTCACTTTGGACGCAACTCTCAGCCAGCTAAAAATAATAAAACTTTTATGCAAGGCTTGGAGCTGCATGAGATGATTATTAGGTTTGCCTTGTCACATCCTGGGGCTTCCTAAGGACAGGAAATGATATTTCAAGACTGCCAATGTATGACTGATGGTACCATAGGCAGATGTACTGTAACAGCATTAATTCACATCCTGTACTGCAGCTGAAAAATTCCAAGTCTGTGATTTTAGGTTGGACCGCAAATGTCCAAAGCTGGTGCAACAATAAGACTTTAGTACTGAATACTCAGTTGAAACGGAAAGAAGCTGATATATGTATAAAGCCCACCATCACCAACTCCAAAAGGTAACATTGCAGTTGGATAGGGTGAGCCATGATAAGTTTCTAGCATCTGTATACATTGGTACATATCTAAGGCACTTTCAATGCAACTCTAAGCTAACTAAAAATAATAAAAATGTTATTCAAGGATTGGAGACTGATGAAATGATTGTTGAATTATTCAGACTGGATTTAGTGAGACGAGACATCAGTGGCTGATTGGAGACAAATATACGCTACAGATTTATTGTGCAAAAGGTTTCAAGTTATCCTGAATCTGCAATCAACTGAAAATGACTATTTAGATGAAAACAATAATTTTCAGCTGATTAAATCCAACAAACAAAACAGGGAAGCACAGCACTGGTAAAAACCAAATTTCCTCTCTCCAGCGTCTCACAATACAAGTCAATTTCTTTCACTTCATCCCACAGTTGCTATCACGATCGGAATCCCTCCTCTTAAGGGCGCTCCGGCTCTTTCATATTTTAGTTTTCACGCACCTGCGTCCTGTTTAGTCCGTCTTTATTTAAGGAGGGCGCTCCTGCTATGCCTGGCTCAGCACTGGGAGATGGATGCCCGGAAGCCCACCTACCAACGGGTCCAGGAGAGACCCAACGGTATAGGTTTCATCACCGCCTCCTGACCGTCTGAGTCCGGGGCTTGGAGCGCCTGGCCTTGTTACCCTCGTTTGATTCCCAGTCCCTGTTCCAGAGCCCGTTGTGTGTTTTAACTGTTTGTTTCATCTTTGATGGGTCCCCCGGTTTTGGACTTTGGACTGCACTCCGGATTCCCCTTGGACTGCCTGAACTTGTTTGCCACGTCCCCCGAGCACCGGATCACCGTAGTCATGCTCCCTTGTCTATAAACAAGTCCTGATCCTCTCTGTCTCCTCCACTGATGTCCTTCTCCACTTATGTCCGGATTATACCGTCTGCATAGGGTCCTGAACTATGCTTCGCAGGAGCTTGGACCGGCTCCCGTTACTGTAGCCCGATGCTCTTGCAGATTTCTTCAGTGTCAGGCATGAATCGTCAGTGCAATTCAAACATTTTTCATCATTTAGCACCAGCAGCATTGTAAAACTTATTATTATTAACTTAAACATTACTGACT